ATGATTTGCTAAATTTGTTTGACAACATTTGTGGGAAAATAAGATGAGAGACTGATAAGACTGTACTGATAAGCCAGTACAGTCAAAATTTTTTAGTCGAAACCCAAATAGCTACTTGGGTAATTAGTTTTGGTCGGTCTGAATGAACATCACTTTGCCAGAAAGCTGATGCCACAGAGACTTTCACATGTCCACATGTAAAAATCATATGCAAAATATCATATGAGGCATGTATTCCACTGTCAACCAGTTTTACAATATAGAGTAAAGGATGAGTTTCATGAAGCATAATCTAATGATATTTATTCATTGTCTGAAAATCTCCACATAATAGCGAAGCTGGCATTTTATCATTTTCAGAACTATAAATCATTCTAAAATCATAATGATATTACTCAAAACAGATGTGAAAGCATATGCTTACCACAGTTGTGTAAACTGCTTACTTATCACACTTAATACATGCTGAGACTTCTACTTTCACTAAATTCCCATTTAATAACTGCATTTGAAGCATTTAAAAGAAAGCTTCCCACTAAAACTGGTGTGAAGTTGAATATGCCACTCCTATTTATTAATAGCCCCATCAGGATGTGTGGACAACCTATCTGACTGAAATGAAAAAAAAACAAAAACGTTGCCATTCCATAGCAAGAGATTCTGAAATAACAGTGCATACCACTGTGTATTTCATGAAAATTAGTTATTGTACATCTGTATGTGTGCTCCAACTGATTTTTCTTGCGACCCAACAGCGTGTACACAAATCTATTTGACTTACGGAGATTTCAGTTCTGAAGGAATTAAGCATGTTATGTGCAGCGTATGCTCTTCTTAGAAATGTTGCTTTTGTGTTAAACTGTCCTTCAAACAGTCATGACTTGGAGAGAAAGCGATATCAGGCACAAATTATTGCTGGATTATGAATGTAGTTTCATGTTTAACGATAATGTCATTACCTTTATAAATGTTTGCATAATTTAATATACAGTGAACCCTCGCCACTTCGCGCTTTGACTTCCGCGGCTTCACTCTATCGCGGTTTTTGCGTAACAGCGCATGCTCTGTCATTACTGCCACTGATTGGCTCATACTGTACACGCTTCTGTCTGCATCGCTACGTATTGGAGCTACGTATCAGATGCATTTTTGCTTTTGTACAGTGTACTGTAATTGTTTGCGATTTTTAAGAAATTTTATCTAAGCCCTATGATGGCTCCTAAACGAGCTGCTTCTTCTAAGCCTTCTGACAATAAAAATAAGCGCCAGAGGAAGATGCTCACCATCCAGGAAAAGGTAAAACTTTTGGATATAAGGAATCCTACTTCACGGAATTTCATTTATCACGGTAGGGTCCAGAACCGATTAACCGCGATAAACGAGGGTTCACTGTACTAGTTAACTTCCATATGATAACCATTCTGAAACCCAACCACTCAATTTCAGAACCTGAGTGGCTTCAGCCTTTTAGTTTCTGGTGGCAAAAAGACAATATATATGGCAAGGAACCCAACCAAGGATTAATGAAATTAAAATCATATTGTTCCAAATTCCAAGTAAAATATTCATCCAGGTAATTTACACCTGGATGAAGCAAGTTTGGTCAAGAGAACAAAGAAACATTTCTCCACTAACTTTTCAGCTAATGGACCTTTTGTGGATAAATGAGCATCTTTTGTGGAAATAGGAAAAATGTACCCTATGGGGAAGTACTGACAGACCATTCGATGATCTGATAAATTACATCTGATCTTATGTTCCTTACCTAAGAGATACTGTCTCACACATGGTAACAGCCATTATGTACACCATTTCCTTTCCTAACATATTTTCAGCCATTAAACAAAGTTATACTGAGCTTTTATATCAGGGAGGTATCATTTTGAAATTATTATCCCTCCTACTTTCTTTTAACAACTATGTCAAGAAATAACTGAATATCATACAGAGGTGATACGGTACCTCAGTGGAACAAAAATTAGACTGAGGCAATATACATTAGAATTCCAGCATTAATATGCTAAATTTTCAACTGAAATATCCAAATTAATAAATATTTTGAAAATGGCTCTTAAATGTAGAGAAAAACATCACATCCCCATGACAGCTTCTAAGTTATTTCATGCATAACCGTTGGGAGTCCTTCAGATTTTCCGATATAGTTAATGAATTGCATATAACACTAGGAGATTAAAATGTCTCTGAGCAGACATTACAAAAAGACTTAGGGTAAATTTTGTAACCACATGCAGAGACAAACTTATGTTGGCATGTCATTTATAGGATTAAATAAATATGCTTCTTTAAACATGATTCTTTTACTTCTAAAATAAGCTATCCAAAATGATAATGAATATTTTCTGACTTACAGGATTGTGGATGCAATATGCAGCACGGGGATGTTAATTGAGTCAGTATCTGATTTATAGTTTGAAACGAAGAAGCAAAAATCAGTTTACCTTTATTATCCCTTTGACATTTTTTGATGGTTGGTCCATTATCCTGGTCAACAATAAGTTCCTCTCTATTGTTGGACATCATAACTATAAATAAGAGATATAGCTGAGTGATTTTCTATGCAAAACACTCAAACCAACGTCAGAGAGGCAACACATTAGTAGGCAAATTACTTCAATAATGGTGAATATCAATTTTTTGTATTAAGAGAATGTAAAGATTTTATTAGTCTGATGATCAACAAGATGCTTACTGGTATAAATGCTAAAGTATAATTAGTATATATATTATATACAACATTGACAACATCTTTTAAGTTATTTAAAATAGTTCCTGTTTTAAAATCTCTGTACATATTATTTATAATTGTGTATATTAATAACATAGTTAATATAAAATTAATAATATATTTTCCAACATACATTTCAAAAACTTACCATTTATTAGAGCATGATTTAAAAATCATTATCAAGTTTAACTCACTTCATAAACATTTTTGAAAATAGCATTTATAAAAATTAATAGATCAATAAAATTTAATTTTCTGGTAATTATTATAAATACTTCTTTATAAAACATATACTGAGAAAGGAAAACATGATGATTCTTAGTTTATAATTTTCATTCCTATTTTACTATATTTCATTCAAATATAAGAGCCCTCTAAAACATGGCCAATTTAAAATTAATGATCATCAAATATGTTACTCATTCATAGACAATCATACTATCATGTTTGGCCAATTTTGTAATGTAGATTGTGTATCATTACTGCCACTGGATTTAAGTTTGCATTATATTGGCCAGAAATTTTTTCTACAATTTTTCATTGGGAATATTTGATTTTGCTTTTAAATGTAAGTTACAATTTACTTATATTTACTTATATACACATCTGTTCCACTTTAAGCCAGCCCTCAAATAATTTCCTCTCCCTCCCTCTCTCTCTCTCTCTTTACTTTTAATGATGGGCTGGTAATAGATTCTTGGCTAGCACAGTCACACACAATGTTGGAGCAACCAGATCTTTTTTCTCCATAGAGTAAATATTGAAGACCTCTGCTCACCTCTTCCAGGTTAAATTTACTCCTTTAGGGCCATTAATCTCAAATTCTATCTCAGTGAATTTTAATAATGGCTGAATATTAGAATTGCCTAGGGAGATATCGAAAACAAAACAAAACCAAACCATGATATTCAGCTTCTACACCATTCCAAGGGAATTAATCTCTGAATGTGTGGGCTGGGCATTAGGACTGTAAAATGAAGAGTCATATTGGAGAACCATTGATCTAAAAATGATCCTGAAGAGTTACAACCAGTATATAATACTGACAGGCTAAATTAAAGTTGCGTCAATTTATACAATAGAGAAATTGTCTACTTCCTTCCTCAGCACTAATCCAGAGCCTAACAAATTCCCCATTGTCACAATCTCAGTCCTCAAATTCAGATCATATGACTGCAGTGAAGCTTGAAACAGTCACTTATGAGCAGCAAAAATGCCAAGCTCACAAGTCCACATATTAAGACTAAAGGAATATAGATACATAGTGAAATAAATACATAGTATCTACATAAATTATTATATTATGGAAAATATATACATAAAACAATGTATTTTACAAGTACAGAGGATGAACCAAGATGTTAGCTAACACAATTGGTTCAAAGTTACCACATTATAAATAAGAATTTCTTACACCTAAATGGACCTGGAAAAAATTGGAGTTACTTACTTTTTTATGCCTAGTCGGATTGAATAGTGGAAAATAATTAGCAACCAAGGTAAAACCACACAAATAATGTTGATCCTCCCCATGTCTTAGGACGCTAAGGGTTTGAAGTACCTATCCAAATGGTATTTCATTTGACTTCATAAAAATACAGTACAAAAGTCATGGCAGTAATTATTTTAATTTAGTGGGTAGATAATTCCTGGATGTTAAATGATATGATTATAGTTACTTAGTGCTAGACCCACAACTCAAAACAAGTCTCCAATAAGCCATGTAACTTCCAGTAACTTTACAGTTTTTTTGCTTATAGTATAAGATTTTTTGAGACTTAACAAATAGAAATCAATGCAAAATAATTTAAAATATTTATTATTGTAATTTTTGAGATTATCATGAATCATACATTGACTCACTCTTCATTCAGCAATTTAGGCCCTAGAGGATATTTCCTCTTCCATTCAGTGGATACTACAACTGTGACCAGGGTATTGTATCACAGTCTCTGTTATACACCAACAAATTGAGCTCAAATATACTTCCTGTAAATTTCCCATGGGTATATTTTCCCATGAGATACAAGGATACAGGAAAGGAAGACCCTTCAAGAGAACATTTAGTAGTGCTAAAATTCATTTCACTTTTCATATTGCTTCAGCAAAAAAAAACAAAAACCACTACTCCACAAAAGTAATACATATAGAGAAGGTGTCAGTTCTCCCAGCTTCTTTCATCTCTACCTATATTGCCCAATGAGGAATTTTCTGAAGATTATCTTCCAATTCCTTGGTCAGGTGAGATACTAACCCATTCTCTCTGAATGGTGATCCATCTGCGAAGGGGAGCTTGACACACTGCTGCTTGGATGGGAGGAAGTCTGACTCCCAGGACGTTGACTCTCTTCCAGAGAGGGAGCCGGAGAAGGACTCTCAGGGATTCGTTCCTGAAAACACAAAAGGAAATACTACTAGCACACACCAGTTTCTTTGTTTTGATTGGGTCATGACTTTTAAAATGTTGTTCTATTAAGTGTGATCTTAATTAGATATCCACCCTACCCAGTCATAAGGACATACACGTATACTTAAGAAAAGGCATACACGTGGTTGACACAAAATGATGGGACATTGTATTGACTGGGCAGTGTTTTGTTCTGTTGTACACCGGATCACTATGAGTCAGGAACAAGTTGACTGTCCGTGACAGCAGCAAGGTTACAAATGAGAAGAATATGAACGGTTTCAGTGCCATGCCAGGTACATGGTAAAAGCTTAAGGAAAGTTTGTTTTTATTTCCTCTCCTAGAAAATTTAAAAGGATTAGGAATGCAGGTAAAGAGAGAAGATTATTGGTTATTTTTTAGTATTAAAAAACGTATTGTGAATTAGGTGAAGGTTTGCAGAGTAGATCATAGTCATATTCAACAATCTATACATATTCTGATTAAACGCATGCATTGCAATCCTCTCAATGGACCTTCATTGGTTTCCATTCTTTTCTTTCCTAACACACAGAAATTTGTTCTTAAGTGCATGTTGTCCTCTTGATCTCTTCTTTTTTTCCATGTAGGAACCCTGCAAGTGGATTGTGGGCTCCTACTCTATTGGAATCTGATGCATGAAAAATTTTCAGCACAAAGATTTTAGAAATAATATGCCCATAGTCTGTCAAGTCTTAGGAAATACCAGTTCTGCCACCAAACAGTTTAGTAGTGATAGAACAAAATAATGAATTTCTCAAGCTAATTAATAACTTAACAATGTCAATTCCTTACTACTGTTTAATTTTTCAGTTATAATTTATGAATTTGAGTAACAACCAAACCTATTTATGCATGCTTTTACAATAACGGTGGCATTTCCCAATATTATTGTGATTATATAAATTTTACTATAAACAATTTCACTTTACTGATGTAGAAATTTTAGTCATTCAGTTACTTTGATTTTTAAAATAGCTAAATTGAATGGTTTGTGTACATAGACAATGATTGTAACTGAATGAATAATAGACATGATAGGACAAAGAATGTTTGTTCTATCAAATATTTAATTAATCCACAATAAATTTATTAAAGTAAATGTTCTCATTATTGGTAATCATGATGTAAGTATTCTAATTATCATAACATTTAAAGTGTATTAGTCAGCTATGTACTCATGTTTTCACACTGATTTTGCATTCAAAGTCCCCAAATTTATACATCTCCTAAAAAGAAATTGTGTTTTATGCAAAAGTAAAATTATGAGAATTCTAGGTTATAATTTCATTTTTAATATTTCTGTTTGCAATTCTGGTATACAGAATAAAAAGCCCCTAAATGTCCACCTTCCATTCCCTGGAACTCAAGAATATGTTACTTTACATGGCAAAAAGGACTTTGAAGATGTTAATGATCCTGAAATGGGGTGGTTATACCGGATTATTCAAATAAGCACAATTTAATCAAAGGAATTCTGAAAACTGGAAGAGAGAGAAAGAAAGGAGTCAGAAGGAGATGTGACTACAGATGAATAATCAGGGAGATACAGCCTTACTGAATTTGAAAATGAAGAAGTGGTTGTTATTGTTTCTACGTGACTTTGAGTCCATTCTAACATAGTAACATGCACAATAGAACAACAACAACAACAAAAACTACCAAGTAATATGCCGATTTCATAACCACTGCACATTTTTACCCATTGGAGTAGCCACTGTGTCAATGCATCTCATTCTTTTTAACTCATGCTCTGCCTCCACCAATCATGATACTCTTCTCTCGAGCTTTATCCTTCCTGATAATATGTCCAAAGTATAGAAAACGGTCTCACTTTCTTTGCTTTTCATTAACATTCTGGAAGTACTTCAAAAGCGTCAATTCTTCACTTTGCCTTATTGATTTTACACCTATTGCATGCATATGAGGCGTTGAACAATACCATGGCTTGGGTCAGGCACACTTTAGACCTCACAGTGACATCTTTGCCCATTAACACTAAATCGGTCCTGTGCAGCAGATTTACTCAGTGCATTGTTGTTAGGAGCCATCCAGTAAGTTCTGACGCATAGCAACCCTATGCACAACAGAGCTAAACTTTGCCCATCCTATACCATACTTACAATTGTTCCTATGCTTGAGCCAATTGTAGCAGCCAATATATTTCATTGAGGAAATTCCAATTTTTTGGTACCCTTCTCCTTTATCATGCATGATGTCCTTCCCTAGGGTCTGATTTTTTTCCTGTCACTCTGTCCAAACTAGGTGAGACCCAGTCTCTAAATCCTTAACTATAAGCAGTGTGGTCATACTTCTCCAAGACAGAATTGCTTGTAATTTTTGTAGTCTATTGCACTTTCAATATTCTTCTCCTGCCCCATAATTCACATGTATGAGCTACTTTATTCAGTGTCATTGTTTTGATTTCCTGCCAGCCTTTTTAAGGCACAAATTGTGGATCTAGTGAAAAGAAAACCTTGACCACATCAATAAGTTATCTCTTTATCATGATGTTAAGTAGTGCCCAAACATGAGGACTTTTGTTTTCCTCATATTTAGGTACAGCCAGTACTTCAGGCTGTATTATTTAATCTTCATCAGACAGTTCCTCAATTCAACTTTGTTTTCAGTAAGCAAGGTTGTATCAACTTCAGGTTCTATCACTTGCACACTACTCATTAATGAGTCTTTCTGATACCATGTTATTCTTCATATAGTCTAGCTTCTCAGTTTATTTCCTCAGCATTCAGAATGAGTAAGCATGTTGAACAAATACAACACTGGTGGCATATTTCATTATTTTAAACCATGTCGTAACCCCTTGTTCTATATGAATGACTACTGTGTTAGTCCAGGTTGACAAGAGAAACAAATCCAGAGGTACTCATATGTGTATAAGAAAGAGCTTCATATACAAGAGCAATTGAATATTGTGAAAACCTCCCAGCTCAGTCCAGATCAAGTCCATAAGTCGGATACTAGCCCCTATGTCTGATACCAATCTAAAAAGTCCTCTTCAGACTCACGAAACACATGCAATGAGGCTGAATGCAGGAAGATCATAGGCCAGTGGGTGCAAAGTCTTGTGGATCCAGTAGTGGTAAAAGCATCTCAGTGCTGGCTGGGGTCTCCACATGGCTCCTCCAGTTCCCAGGGCATGGGGTCTATCAGGATAGTGCCATGTGTCTTATCAGTAGAGCATCTCTCAGGGAGTGAGTCAATAGAGTGTGTCTCCTGCCTCCAAGGAGTAAATACAGGAGTTCCCAGAATTCTCAGAAGGCCACACCCACACAGAGGCCTCATTGGTTATGATCTGATTGACAGACTAGACAATACCCCTTCACTTTTAATCCTCTCAAGTCACATATTGACACCAGATTATGAAACTACCACAACTACCTCTTTGTCTATATACAAGTTTCCAATGAGTAGACTTAAGTGTTATGGACTTCCTCCATCACAATGTGATATGCAGTTTGTTATGATCCACACAGTCCTTTGCATAATTAATAAAACACAGTGAATCATGTTTCTTATATTCTGCTTTCAAGCAAGATACATATGATAGCAGGAATGTCGTCTTGTGAATCAGGTTTGCATTACTAGCAGTTCCCTGGGGATATATTGCTGCTGTCATTTTATAATTATCTTTATAATACTTTTAGTTTCATGTGATATTAATGATATTATACCATAATATCTGCCTTCTTTTGGATCTTTTTTGGGGGGGGTATGGACATAAATATAGATCTCTTTCTGTAGGTTACCAGGTAGCTATATTCCAAATTTTTTCCATAGGCAAGTCAATGCTTCCATCATCATTTTCCTTATTTGATACACCTCGATTTACATTTTGTCCATTCTTGTGCTCTTGTCTTTTCACCAGGGTTATCTGTGCAGCTTGAACCCCTTCCTTCTATATCATTTGGCTGTTGATCAAATTCTATCTCCTGAAATTGTTGAACATCCACCAATTCTTTTTGTTACAGAGGGTCTGTGTATTTCTTCTATCTTCTTTGATGCTTCCTTTATCCTTCCATATTTTGCCTTTAGAATGCTTCAATATTCCAACTCAAATCTAAGTCTTTTCTCTCCAGGTCTTTCAGCTTATGAGCTGTCACATATGTTCTTCCCTTTAGTTTTATAACTCCAGGTCTGTGCAAGTATCATTATAATATTTTGCCTTCTTGAGCAGCCCTTTGAAACTTTCTGTTCAGCTTTTCAACTTCATTTATTCCTGTTCCTTTAGGTTTTGTACACTCAAGACAAAGTTTCAAGAAGTCTTCTAACATCTATTTTAGTCTTTTGTTTCATTTATATCTTTCCAATGACCTTTTGCTTTCTTCGTGTAGGATGTTCTTAAGGCCGTCCTACAACATGCCTGGTCATTGGTTTGCAATTCATTAAATCTCTTCTTGATATGTTCACCAAATTCAGGTGTGATGTACTTAAGGTTGTAATTTGGTTCTAGTGGACTTGTTTAAATATTATTAACTTTCAACTTGAATTTCATATGTGTAATTAATGGAATGTTTTGCTGTCAACCTCTAATATTGTTCTGACTGATGGTAATGAGCTTCTCTATTGTCTTCTCATTTCTAGTTGATTTGACTCCTATATATATTCCATTTGACAAGATCCACATGTATAGTCACTCTTTATGTTATGTATAAAAGGTATTTGCAATGAATCAGTTATTGATCTTGAAAATTCTAGCATGTTATCCCTGGTGCAGTTTATATACAAAAGGTCGTATTTTCCAACTGCTAAGCGTTCTCCTTTTTTCAATGATTTGCATTCAAATCAGCAGTAATTATCAATGCATCTTGATTGCATGCTTGCCAAATTTCACATTGCAGAAGTTAGCATATATTTTTAATTTTCTTTGTATTTGGCATTATCATTGGGTCCATAAATTTGAATAACATTTGTTATAAATGGTCTTCCTTTTGGAGTGTAGATACA